TTATATTATATATTATATGAAAAGAGGCAAAAAAGAAAAAGAACAATAAAAAGAAAAGTTGCCCAAGTTTCTCTCTTCTCTATCTTTTTCTGTGTTTTCCAGTTTGCCCGACTTCGGGCATTTTTCCAGTTTACTATCTCTGTAACCAATGAGGATGCTTCCATGTTGTTTTGGTATCAACAAGAAGGAGCACAAGTCATACAACATTCTTTCCAATGCTAGTTGTACTACCAATTGCCTTGCTCATCTTGCCAAGTTTATCAACGACAAAAGGACCGAAGGGGTAGACGTGCCTCTTCCTTCAATGACATTCCTGGCAACACTGGAGAGCAAACAAAGTTGATGTTCGTCTAGAGGAGTTCAAGTTTTAACCCAAACAATTGCCCTTTGAGATCAGTGTTCTTCATGCTCAATTCTCTTATGCCTGCTATATCCTCCATTTCGAGAAGAGCTTATTGGAGTCGTAAGTTTCACAAACTTTGCTCAAATTTATAAAACTTGGGGGGCTTCTGTTTGCACTTAAAATGTGCCCAATTTACTTGGGCCATTGGGATAAAATATGGTATTTGAAGGATTAATATGCAACAAAGCTAACTTAGAAAGATATTTGGCTGCAAGTGGATGAGTTTTTACACTATAATATTGTTTCTCCAATTTGTTTGGGTGGTGGAGATTTGCCAAGTCAACAATTGCATGCTTTCCCATTACAAATGGATTGGAAAGCATACATACATCCTGCAGAGAACATGTGAAAGAAGCCAACTTATTACAAGTTGGGGAGACATGTGCTAAAAACATGTGGTGAAGATGTAAGTTTCCCTTTTAAATATTATTTCTATATGCAAGTTGGCAAAAGCAATGCAAGCTGCCCAAGTTTCTTTCGGGCAAGTACAAGGTTCTCAGCATGTGTCTCTTTTCAGATCTCCATTTAAAGGGGCAGATGCACAAGGATTATGGACACTCAATCAAACAAATACACAAACTCTGCTCAAGTCAGATTTGCATATGAAGCTGTAGTCAGCACCATGCCTTCATCTTTTTCAGGATCAACCTTAATCAAAAGCCTTCTTTTATCTAGTTTATTAGCTCTGCTGCTCACTTGTAGTATCGATCTCCTTTGTAGTTTTCATGTACAACTTATCTTCAGTCATTTAATTTACAAGCAATCTACAATATTAGTCATTCGTTTTCCTTTGTCATTTACATATTGTTCTACCTCTCCATATAAGTAAAGTCCTTATTTTTAAGGGAAACAAAGAACCTTGATTTGAGTCACTCCCACTCAATGACACAATCTCGTGGTCAGAAGTCGAACTCAGGTGCAACCTCAATCATTCAAAATCCGTCTACTAGCGGCATCTAGTAGTGGCACGCCCGCACCCCACCAATTTCGTGTTTGAATAAATTCCCGACATGCCCGCGAGGCCCATGGCGAATTTAGGGAGCGAACAGGCAAACTTAGGATTAATGCCTCTATTAATTTGATGTTTTCTCATGGTCAAGAAATATATACAGCTGTCTTTTTTATTGGACAACATCATTCATCCTCTATGTTTAATATTAATTGCTTTTCTTAATCTATTTTTCCGTCAATCGTTTCTGCTACATAATCTCATTTGGTTTTCGATTTTGTGAAATGTTCTGGAAGCGGGAGTGTGTGAAATGTGTTGATGCTGATGATAGTGCCGAATTTGGTGACACTCCTCAACTAGCAGAGCAGGTAACGGAGCTTCTTCCAACTCAATTTTAATTATTCAAGCTGCCTAAGATTTGCATAACATTCCCAAGTTGTAGTCGATGTGCTTGAGTGGTTGAGTGCTTGACTAATGAATGTAACCACTAAGATTTGGATTGTTTTTGGGGGGTAAGAAATAACATTGCTAATTTCGGATTTATGGGTTTGAATTTTTGTCGAGTATGTGATTCTGTGTTTTGTGTATATTGAGCGACTGATGAAAAAATGTAGCCATAAAATATTGATTTTGACAATTTTGATTATGAGATTGTCTCTTTATATAATGTACAATTTCTGTAGTTGCCTTCAATGTTATTGTCATTGGCTCGGGTGCTCAAAAGATCTATACCATGTCGTTTTGCCAATAATGTGGGTATTTCGTTGAATATCATAAAAGTGAACATCTGTAACTATATATCTGAAAATGTTTGGTAGATAGAGCAATTTGGGAATTTGTTACCAAAACATTGATGGTAACATGTATATCTTTTTTATTTTTTTACATGAATGTTGAATGTTGAAGTTGAATGCCTTATCATTTTGGTTTTTAATATGCCATTGTTTATCTATATCCAAAATGAGTCTGAATCTTTTCCAATAAATGTTACTTTCTGATTTGAGAAACTGTAATTCACTTTTTATAGATCCTTTCCTATATATTTGATTTACAGAGCTCTTGGGTTGTCAATTGTGACTGGAAATTCTACTCCTCACATGGATCATAGGTAAAAAACACTATTCTTTTCTTATTACTTTTCCTTCAACTGTGTTTTATTTTGAGATTGTCTCTTTATATTTTGTAAATTTCCAGCACTTTCGCAAACTGTAGAGCATATAGGAAAGCAAATGTTTTCCATTTTAGGTACAAAGAACCAAATATGTTATCTATGTCTTCAATGAAATGCTTTAGTTTTATTGCCTTTAATTGATTAGTTTTAACTGATGTTTGGCTGCTTACAAATATTCTTCGTTTTGTCTTTTTGAACCTGAACGGCAAATCAAATTGGATTAGATTCTATTTTTTTAGTTCATTTTGCATATTGGTTTATCTTACTTCCTTGAACCAATTGGAAATTCCAATCTTGCATTGTTAAGCCCTGAAATTAGAACAAAAAAGCTTGCATGAAATTGAAGTTTTCTTTGATTGAAAACTCATTTTTCTTCTATTTTGAAGTTTTCTCCGATTGATTTCTGAATAATTTAGAAATGGGTATGTTAAATTGTGGTTTACGATTTCAAAACCCGCGGCGGAGCGCGGGCATTTTTTCTACTATGAAACCTATTTTGCACAACCACTAACAAATTGTTTGCACCTTTACGCAATCTCCATTAGAAAAGCCACAAGTTTCTCAACCAAGCAAAATGGCATCATAATATCCAAAGGGTGCAAGTTAGCCGTTTCTCATTTTTTTCTTATTTTCTTTTAAAAAACACCAAGAAGCAGGTAGCTAGCACCATCACTATGTATGTCCAAACATCAAATGCCCCTTTCTTTTTCTTCTGCAAAACGGCCAAAGTACCCAGATTCTTCTTTTATATAAGAAGCTTGCTAAAGACCAACAACCACACCAACTTAACTACTTATATTATTGGGGTGATTTTTAGTCATCACCCTCAAGGGGTGGTAATGCTTACTACCTTATTTATTACCGTTGTATGAGTTTAAATTTTGAGATTTGTGTCTATCCAAAGTATTAAACTCATATAACGGTGATAAATAAAGTAGTGAGCATCACCATCATTTGAGTGTGGAGAGCAAAAATATTCTTATCATATTTTATGCAAATGGGGAAAAATTCCTAATTGCAAAAGCAAAATAGAGGGGTAATAATTCAGGAGTTTTTAAGCTCTTAGTTAATGGTATTTAATTTGCTTGGTAACGAGAATTATTTGGGAGTTAGTCACCTACCGCATGCATGCAAATTGGAGGAAACAATTCATGGACCAAATTACACCACCGTATCTTTTGGAACTTCACTTATAGCCCATGTTCACTTGGAAAACATGAAAATTATGAACAAAATTGATTTTTCTCCTAACCATGCCAATAAATTTATAACTCAATCAAGTTTATTTGCTTTGATAAGTAATATTTTGGGTAACAATTTATGATGAGATTCATTAAATACTAACAATTAGTGGATGATATTAATTGAAGTGTGTTAAAGATAGGGCAATAAGTTAAAAGGCCAGTGACACAGCTACAAGTCACATTATTGTGACGTATGTTCTAAAAACAAATTTGTTAGTATCCTATTGATTACCCAAAAAAAAAAAATCTATCAATTGTAATAAATCTAAATTCAAATCCATTTATGAACGGTTGAGAATTTTCATTTTTGTTGGTTTAATAGAAACTCTTTCATGCTACTTAGTACTACGATCCAGTGATATTCTCTTCACTTGTAAGTGATATGTTTTAAGTTCGATTATCGTCAAATACGAAATTGAACCACATTATTGTTAGCTCATTACGAGGCTAAGCCTATCCCCTTCCCCTTAGTGTAGATAATATCATTTGTTCGAAAAAATAAAATAAAAACTCTTTCATTGTCAAGATTGGTAGAACGACTGCTAAAACCATTGGATTAGAATTTAGAATGCACATAGGAGAATATTGATAACAACAATGCTAGAAAACCTTGATTTGTCACAGCCCATGGGCTTTAAAGTTGGGGTTAAAGTACTACAAAAAATGGCCATTTGCAAACCCTATTAACCATATCAACCAACTTGAACCAAATTCTCTCCACTTATATGGAGGAGTTCATATAAGTAATAGTCTGAGATTAGTCCACTGTCAACTTGGTGTTTAGAAGAACATTGCTTGGCTTTAGATCACAATGAACTATGGGTGTTTCGCTATGGTTATGAAATAATCCAGTGCATAATAGCAACACCAATAACAATATCTAGCCCTTGAAGAAGATTTTAATTACAGGAGGGGGATGCAACCACTCCTCTAAGCTCCTTTGGTGCATCAACTCATAAACTAGAGCCTTGAAATCATCATCGAGAAAACATGCAGATATGACCTTGAAGAGATTTTGATGCTTGATATTTCTCAAAGCCTCGTATTCGGCTATGAAACTCTTTGATGCTCCGTGACGTAACATGTTAAACACCTTCATAACCAACAATTTTGTTGGTCAAGTCTAATAGGAAACTCCAATCACTATCTTTACAGCTTCCAAGTTGATTTTATTGAATCTTGAGGGTCTAGAGGTTATGAATCTTCAAAAAATTTGGAATTTGTCAATGTGAATTTTCAACAATTTTGTGGCACGAACTAGATTTTAATCGATGTGAATATTACACAAAAATACCAAGTACAAGAAGTAGTAATACACTCTTCACACAATGAACCTCTTTGGTGATTATTTACATTGCAAACTTCCACATCTATTGCAGTAACATAAAAGCTAGACTTCACGAGCACGAAATTTCTTTATCACAAAAGCACATAAAAAAGAGTTTCTATCCAAGAAAAGTATTCCTAATGGAATGAAGTTCAGATGCAGCATCATTGATATTCTTTAGTCGATCTGTTGTGGATTCAGCAGAACAAGCAATTCCAATTCTAAATATTGAACTCAAGCACACCTCAACTTTATGAATTCTTGCACTGCATTGATTGGAATTCTCGTTTGTGCCTCCTTGAAGAAGTGGTGCATCTGCAATCTCCGTAACTCGCCCGAGGAGAGCCATCTTGACAAAATTATGAAGGTTCAAGCTATCACCAAAAATGTTGTCAGTGGGTCTCTTCCCTGTAAACATCTCTAACAAGAGAATACCAAAGCTGTAGACATCCCCATTCCTTGACACCTCACTCCCCATGCCATACTCTACAATTCAAACATCACATATCTGTATAAATAAATCAGTTTGAATTTTGTAAATTCAATACTCCAAAATAAGAAAGGAAAAATAATGAAGTATATATCTAACATATATATACCCGGAGCTGGATAACCAACCATTCCTCTTATTCCAATAGAACTTGTCTGACTCTGGATTGCTGAAACATTACTTGTTACTTATGAGAGAAACCTTGCTAATCCAAAGTCAGAAACATGGCCAGTCAATTCTTTGTCTAAGAGAACGTTGCTTGGTTTGAGATCACAATGAACTATTGGCGTTTCACAATGATTATGAAGATAATCTAGTGCACAAGCAACACCAATGGCAATTTCTAGCCTCTGAAGAAGACTTAAATTCTTGGGTACATGATCTCCTAACTCTTCAGTTCCAGTAGGTGGATGCAGCCACTCCTCTAAGCTCCCGTTGTCCACGAACTCATAAACTAGAGCCTTGACATCATTACCATTAAAATCAACACTTGAACAGACAATTATAATCTTGACGAGATTTCGATGCCTAATATTTCTCAAAGCTTCACATTCGGCTATGAAACTCTTCGAAGCTCCAAGGCGTAACAAGTTAAACACCTTCACGGCAACAAGTTGAGCTTTATCATCATCATCAAGACTCCCTTGTACACAGACCCAAAACTACCAACACCAATTAAATTAGCCTCTGAGAACCCATCAGTAGCTTTGAGTAGAGTAGCATATGACACTTGCAAAATAGTGTCCCCCAAAGTGCTCAATGAAATTTCTTTCCTTTTCTTCCTTGATGAACAAAGAAAGAAATAGGAGAACACCATGGCTATTCCTAGAAGAGTAAGCCCAAATACTAAAGGGAGTATTAGTTTCAAGCTACGAGACAATCTTCGTTTCTTGGTCTCTTTAGACTTGCACTTGGGAAGCTTTAAATTAGCAACAAGACTGCACAAATTTGTGTTGCCAATGACTGAAATAGCACTCGCATTTTTGAAAACACCTCCAGTTGGTACCACTCCCCAAAATTGATTGAATGATAAGTTCAGAATATTCAGGATTCTAAAGCCTTCTAAAAAATGTGGAATTTCCCCTGAAAAATTATTGCGAGAAAGGTCTATATCTCGAATCCCTCTCACTGAACTCATAGACAAAGGAATGGACCCGTTGAAGAAGTTTCCTTGCAAATGCAGGACTTCTAAACTCTCACAACCACCAAGGCTACTGGGAAGTTCTCCAGATAACATGTTATCAGAAAGATCCAGTTCACTTAGACTATGGAAATTCCCAACCTCCGGGGGAAGGGAACCTGTGAAGAGGTTATTAGACAAGTCCAAAGAAATCGTTAAGGAGGAGAGTCTAAAAACTTGTTTGGGTATTGTGCCATTTAGGAGGTTATAAGAAAGATACAACAATTGCAACCCATGGCATTCCCCCAGACCTGAAGGAATGCTGCCCTCAAGATAATTTCCAACCAACGAAAGATGGTATAACTTGGTTAATTTCTGAAGGAAGACGGAATATTTCCTGATAATTTGGTCTTGTAAATCTTTAATAATCCAAGGTTTGAAAGCTTACCCATGTCAGAGGGGATGTTTCCTGTGAAGCTATTATTCCCCAAAGACAACCATTCCAAGCTCACCAGATTCCCTATCCCAGATGGGATGCTTCCATATATTTGGTTAGTGTCAACTGCAAAAATTTCAAGTTTGGTTGAGAGATTGGATATTGACATGGGCAATGTCCCTCCAAAATTGTTGGTGTTAATAATCAAAAATTGTAACCGGGTGGCATTGGTCAAGTCCGAGAGAAAACTTAAGTCACCATCTTTACCGCTTCCAATATTATTATATTGAATGTTGAAAACCTGGAGGTTGTGAAGCTTTTGGAGATTCGGTACCCGTCCGATTAGGTTGCTACTCCCAACGTCAAAAAACCAAACACTTGTGACGTTGATTATTGAGGGAGGTATGGACCCAGTAAGTTGGTTGATGCCGAAGTTGAATATTTCGAGATTAAGAAGACTTTTGCCAATATCTGATGGAATACTCCCTTGAATTTGGTTATTTGTCATGGAAAATGTAACAAGAGAAGAGAGGTTATAAATGGAGGAAGGGATGCTACCAGACAACTGATTTAACCCCAATCTCAAGAAGGTTAATTTTTTCAATTGGCCAAGAGAACTGGGGATGTTTCCCATCAAGTTATTACTAACGAGAATTAGTGCCCGGAGAGACGAAAGGTTCCCCAAGGAAGGAGGGACCTGTCCCGTTATATTATTATCTTCTAATATAAAATTTTGAAGCTTCGACAGCAATCCAATTTCTGAAGGAATTTTACCCACCAACTTGTTGCGAGTGAAATTCACAACGATAAGGTTGAAGCAATATGATATATTGTGTGGAATACTGCTACTAAACGAGTTAATGTCTAATCGCAATACCTGCAACCTACCCAAATTCCCAATTTGTGGAGGAATTTCATGACTGAAGCTGTTATTTCGCAGCCACAACTCCTTTAGAAAACTTAGATTTCCTACGTTTGGGGATAGTTTCCCTACCAGATTTTGAGATTGCAGGTCCAGCTTAGTGACCCTTTGGCGATGTCGTCGATTGCACGTCACACCATGCCACATGCAGAAGTGCGTGGATTCGTTCCAGGAGCTCATCACATTGTAATTATGGAGATCTTGCTTTATTTGAGCTTTGATGGCTAGCAGCGCCAGCCTATCCGTCACATTCCCTCTGAGTCCCGATCGCAGGGAGCTCCAACAGCAAACGAACACTGCACTGAAAAGCATGTTAAGATCAATTTCACAACCAAAACCCCCATTTCTGATCTGATTAACAAAATAACTAGAGAGAGAAGCAAAAAGACAGAGAGATAGGTGTTGAGTTGTGAAAGTGGTGAGTTCCATTTGTTGCATGGGAAGACAATTTATAGAAGAATAGCATCATAGGAGGAACTTACATCACGGTTTCTGGTTCTTGAAAATTCAAATATGGGAAGGAAAAAGTCCAAGTAAATGATAACCACTTTGACTGGTTTTTTAGACTATCTGGAAAAAGTCCAAGAATAGCATCATAGTGAGTTCCATTTCTTCCACTACTGGGAACTATTGTTGGGCACTTTCAGTGAACACCAAGGACCAAGATCATTAAAGCACCTTTAGGATCATAGGATGAACCTCCACCACAGTTTCTTTTTATTGAAAATTCAAATATGATAACCACTTTGGATTGTTTTTTTAGACGACTTCACTACTGGGAACTGTTTGGCACTTTCGGTGAACGCCAAGGACCAAGACCATTAAAGCACCTTGAGTCCAGAAGCTGACTCGAAATAGCATTATCATCCATAATTCATTTTGGCAATCATCCTAAATGGAAAAACAAATACATGGAACCCAATATTTTCTCACATCAGACGTTAAAAAATCCAAAAAAATTAGAAAAAACTTGCAACAAAAAATATCTAATAAAACTTTCAAAGTTCACACTTGAACAAAAATCTAAGATAATATTACTTATAGATAATGACATGTGGTGCAATGAAAATTGTTGAACTGCATGAAGGTTGATGTACTTCTGGTTTTAATCAATGTTGGACTTGGGAAACCTAGTGAATATACAAGCGAATCTACGATTAGTTGAGAAACTTAAAGGAGCTTGAGGGGTAATGATGGTTTTAGGTATTTAATGACATTCAGGCCATGCTTGATGTCTATTTGATGTCAGCGTATCGGAAATGCTTGAACAAAGAAGAAAGATGCTCAAAGAGCTGCAGTAGTTAACTACTTGGTTTGATTAGATTGCTATGTTAATCAAAATGTCCCCTGCAGTTTGTTATAGGGTTAAAGTTTTACTTTAGTGTTCTTTAGCGACTTGGTTTCAAAATTTTCGTTCGACTTTCCTTGGTCTGTGAGGCCAATGGTAGAATGATCGTGGAAAAATGAAATTGTTCTGTCTTAATATCTCTGGTAAGAGCGGGTATGCATTCTTAAAGGACTTGTTTGTCATTATTTTAAGCTGTTTAATGTGCTCATTTCAGTATACATCATCCAAAGTCTATAATTGCTAAAAGTAGCACTACAAGGGCGAGGGAGCTATTGTTGGAAATTCAAATTAAAAGCCATGTGATGTCTAACTATCTTTCCATGTGATGCTAGCTTTTCTTTCCAGGTTGTATCCAGCAAATATAAACATCATTGCTCCTCCATCTGTTAGCCGAAAGCAGATTACAAGACAGCAGTGTGCTGCCATGTGATATGCTAGCCGAAAGTGTGTTGATTGCAAGCTGGAAAGATAGCTGCATATGTGTGCTAGATTGTCCAAAGTTCATATGATTTGTTTGTGTGTGCTGTTGTGTTTATTTTATTAAAAGCACTTGAGTGGTCCTTCTTTTCTGCTTGTATAAATAAGCCTCACGTAAGGCTTTAGAATATATATCTCTCTGATTTGTCATTCCATTTAAGAAGTGTGTTTGCAAACTTTTTTAAATATATCAAAGTGCATTGTTTGCCAAAGCTTGTAGCTTCCCTCCTTTCTCTATTTCTTTGTCCAATATTATTGAGAGTGCAAGTGAGAGGTGTGATATAGTTTGTAAACTTATCACCCACATATTTTGGTATTGAGTTAGTAAACTCTTGTGAATACCAACAATTGGTATCAGAGCCAGAATACCATTCTGGCAAGTGCAGCAGTTATGGCGTCCAACTTAGTGCAGCTCCAGGTTCCCACATTGAAGAAAGAAAATTACGAAAGATGGTGCATCCAATTCAAAGCATTGTTTGGATCACAGGAGCTATGGGAAATAGTTAGTAGTGGGTATGTTGTACCCACTGCCGAGCAAGAAGCCGCATATACTGCAGACCAAAGGAACATTCTCAAGGACTTACGAAATAAGGACCAGAAGGCGCTGTATTTTCTATACCAGGGTCTGGAAGATTCAACGTTCGAGAAGGTTGCAGAAGCAACAACGAGCAAGCAAGTATGGGACACACTCAGTACAATCTACAAAGGAGTAGATCGAGTCAAGAAAGTGAGGTTACAGTCACTTCGAGCAGATTTTGAAACTGCTCACATGAATGAAGGGGAGAGCATCTCCGACTATCACTCAAGGCTCATTGTGATAGTAAATCAGATGAGGAGAAATGGCGAGAGACTCGATGAAGTACGAGTTGTGGAGAAGATACTCCGATCACTCACATCTAAGTTTGAGCATGTGGTGACTGCCATTGAGGAATCCAAGGATTTGGAGGCGATGAGCACAGAGGAGCTACTAGGATCCCTCCTAGTTCATGAGCAACGCATTTAAAAGAATGCAAGCCCTACAATGCTAGAGCAAGCTTTGGAGTCAAAGTTGAATATTGACAAACCAAATGGAGGTCGTGGGCAGTGGAACTCACGTCGTGGGAGTTCATCCAACCGTAGCCGAGGACGAGCCCGAGGAAGAGGTCGAGGCTATGCACAAAACCGAGGTCAATCTCAAGAGTGGAGATCAACTCGAGGAAAGGCGCATATCCAGTGTCACAGTTGCAAGCAATATGGACATTATGCCAATGAATGTTCATATAACATTGGTGAGCATGTCAACATGGCAGAATCAAGTGGAAATGCTGGTGAAGAATTTACAGTCTTACTAGCACACCATGATATCAGTAGCCAACAAGATGTTTGGTATTTGGACTCTGGTGCAAGTAACCACATGTGTGGAAAGAAAGAGTTTTTTGCCGAACTCAAAGATGGGCATTATGGATCTGTGAGTCTTGGTGACTCCTCAAAGTTGCCAGTTGAAGGCAAAGGAAAGATCAAAATCATCCAGAAGGATGGTAGAGAAGAATACATCTCCGATACCTACTACATACCAGGTATGAAGAGCAACATTATGAGCATTGGTTAACTGCTCCAGAAATGGTATGTTATACATATGGAGGATATGTTTCTCACTCTCAGGAATGCAAGGAGAAAACTTATTGCACGTGTTCAAATGTCAAAGAACCGAATGTTCTCGTTGAAGTTGAACACAAAGATTGGGAGTTGCAACATCGATGTAATGGAAGATGAGTCATGGAAATGGCATCTTCGATTTGGCCATCTTCATTTCAATGGCCTAAAGTTGCTGTCAAGTGGAGGAATGGTTCGTGGTCTACCCCAGATTGAAGCCACACACCAAGTATGTGAAGGTTGTGTGCTTGGCAAGCAAGCACGACTATCGTTCCCTGTTGGTGATACATGGAGAGCAAAGGCACCACTGCAGTTGGTGCACACAGATATATGTGGTCCATTGTATCCCATGTCTTATGGAGGTAATAGGTATTTTATTACTTTCATTGATGATTTTAGTAGGAAAACTTGGGTTTATTTTCTCAAGGAGAAGTCGGATGCCCTAAGAATCTTCAAGGAGTTCAAGGCACTCACAGAGGCTGAAAGCAACCACAAGCTTGTGGCTGTGAGATCAGATAGAGGTGGAGAGTACACCTCCAATGCTTTCCAAGCATACTGCAAGGAGCAAGGAATTAGGCATCAACTGACTGCTGCCTATACCCCACAACAAAATGGGATAGCCGAAAGAAAGAATCGAACCATCCTTGACATGACAAGGTCCATGCTTAAGGAGAAGAATTTTCCAAAAGAATTGTGGGCAGAAGTTGTAGCTTGTTCGATTTATTTGTTAATCGATGTCCAACAAAGAGTGTCAAGAGGATGACACCACAAGAGGCTTGGAGTGGATACAAGCCGAATGTTGCACACCTAAGAGTTTTTGGGTGTGTTGCATATGCTTAAGTTCCAGAAGCCAAGATGAGAAAGCTCGATGATCGAGGTGAGAAGTGTGTTTTTGTGGGCTATAGTGAAGAGTCCAAGGCATATAAGCTCTACAACCCACTAACTGGCAAACTAGTGGTTAGTAGAGATGTCATCTTCAGTGAGGAAGAGGCATGGAAGTGGAACAACAAAGAAGTCAGTAAAGAAAAGATCGTCTCCACTGATTTTGAAGAACCAGAAGTTGTACTACCTGTTGAGCAACAGCCTGCTCAAACAAACACAACAACTCCATTGCACAGAACTGCAAAGAGTGGTCCTACATCCAGTGAAGAAAGCAGCTCCTCAACTCCAGTAAGGCTAAGAAGTCTCACTGAGATATATGGACAAGAAGAAGAATAAGAAACCAACTTTTTCTGCTTGTATGTAGACCACGAGCCTCTCTCATTCAATGAAGCTATGGAAGAAGATCGTTGGAGAATAGCCATAGAGGAAGAAATCCATGCCATCGAGAAGAATGACACTTGGGAGTTGACAAAGCTCCCACCAAATCAGAAGGCTATTGGTGTCAAGTGGGTGTACAAGATCAAACGCACTGCAGATGGGAGTGTGGATCGGTACAAATCAAGGCTTGTAGCAAAGGGCTACAAACAGAAGTATGGAGTTGACTATGATGAAGTCTATGCTCCAGTTGCAAGACTTGACACGGTAAGATTGCTAATCTCTCTTGTTGCTCATCATAAATGGAAAATTTATCAACTAGATGTCAAGTCAGCCTTCCTTAATGGAGTTCTTGAGGAAGAGGTGTGTGTGGAACAACTGGAAGGCTTCCAAGTACAAGGAGAAGAAGATAAGGTGTATCGTTTGAAGAAGGCTTTGTATGGCCTCAAGCAAGCACCACGAGCTTGGAACTCAAGGATTGATAACTACCTTCACCAAAATGGATTTCAGAAATGTCCATACGAGCATTCAGTTTACATGAAGAACGGTGAAAAATGGGAGTTCTTAATTATTTGTCTCTATGTAGATGACTTGTTGTTTACAGGGAACAATGAAGCAATGTTCTGTGAGTTCAAGCAATCCATGTTCAGTGAATTCGAGATGACTGACAATGGGTTAATGTCATACTTTCTTGGCATAGAGGTGAAGCAAGAAAGTGACGGTATCTACATCTCTCAACAAAAGTACATGAGAGATATATTGGAGAAATTCAATATGGACAAGTGCAATATTGTCAACACTCCAGTTGCAACTGGCTTGAAGCTGTCCAAGGAAGGAGAAGGTGAGTTTGTAAACTCGACCGTGTACAAAAGCTTGGTTGGAAGCCTAAGATACCTTACAATCGCAAGACCTGATATAGTTTATGGTGTTGGACTCGTGAGTGGATACATGGAAACACCAAGGGAGTCTCATTGGCTGGCCGCCAAGAGAATTTTGAGGTACATAAGAGGTACTCTAAACTATGGTCTGTTTTATAATTTTGGTGAAGATGCAAAATTATTTGGTTATTCAGATAGTGATTGGGGAGGTGATCAAGATGAAAGGAAAAACACAACTGGCTATGTGTTTTTCTAGGATCAACAACTTTCTCATGGACTTCAAAGAAGCAATCAATTGTTGCTTTGTCATCATGTGAAGCCGAGTATGTTGTTGTAGCCTCAACAGTGTGTGAGGCAATTTGGTTAAGAAATCTATTGAAGTCAGTGTGTCATCCACAAGTGGAATCGACTGTGATTCATGTGGATAACATGTCTGCAATCAAGCTTGCAAAGAATCCTGTTCAACATGGAAGGAGCAAGCACATTGATACCAGGTTCCATTTTCTAAGGGACCATGTGAAGCAAAAGACAATTGAGCTTGTCTATTGTCACACGAAGGAACAAGTGGCAGACATCTTCACTAAGCCACTACCAGTTGAATCATTCCGACTACTACGTGAAATGCTAGGCATGAAGGCGTTTTAATTTGAGGGGGCATGTTGGAAATTTAAATTAAAAGCCATGTGATGTCTAACTATATGTCCATGTGATGCTAGCTTTTCTTTCCAGGTTGTATCCAGCAAATATAAACATCATTGCTCCTCCATCTGTTAGCCGAAAGCAGATTACAAGACAGCAGTGTGCTGCCATGTGATATGCTAGCCGAAAGTGTGTTGATTGCAAGCTGGAAAGATAGCTGCATATGTGTGCTAGATTGTCCAAAGTTCATATGATTTGTTTGTGTGTGCTGTTGTGTTTATTTTATTAAAAGCACTTGAGTGGTCCTTCTTTTCTGCTTGTATAAATAAGCCTCACGTAAGGCTTTAGAATATATATCTCTCTGATTTGTCATTCCATTTAAGAAGTGTGTTTGCAAACTTTTTTAAATATATCAAAGTGCATTGTTTGCCAAAGCTTGTAGCTTCCCTCCTTTCTCTATTTCTTTGTCCAATATTATTGAGAGTGCAAGTGAGAGGTGTGATATAGTTTGTAAACTTATCACCCACATATTTTGGTATTGAGTTAGTAAACTCTTGTGAATACCAACAATTGGTATCAGAGCCAGAATACCATTCTGGCAAGTGTAGCAGTTATGGCGTCCAACTTAGTGCAGCTCCAGGTTCCCACATTGAAGAAAGAAAATTACGAAAGATGGTGCATCCAATTCAAAGCATTGTTTGGATCACAGAAGCTATGGGAAACAATCAGTTGTCCAGCCTCTCCTACTTGACATTAGGCCCATCGTTACTCATTGCCAATAGGCTGAAAGGGTAGTTCAACTACCTTTGCCTGCCCAATTTTTTTTTATTTTGGGAAACTAATTGCCGGCCCAATTTGGCATTGATGGACCATCATTTTTTTGGTCAAGGACAATTTAACCCAATTGCCTGGTTGATTGTCAAGAATTATGATGAGCATGGTAGAATTTTCAGCAATGGACTATATATACCTAAAATTGGAAGAAGCTATATAACGTCTTTTGTTTGAACTAATAATTTATACAAAAGTTTTGTCCAGAATAATGTTATATTGTCAGACAATTTTAAATGCAACATTGTCACAACAATTTTTGGAATGATGGACTAGTTAATTTTGAGAAAAATTAATAAAAAGGGTTTGAAAACTTTGAGTTTTAACGATAAAGATAAAATAAAGGGTAAAATAAATAGTCCCAGATTTGACTTTTTAGTATAAAAATATGATTTTTCGTTAAAATAAACAGTACCACAAATTTTTCGTTAAAACATACTTAATTTTAATATCAATTTTAGAGCGACATTGTACTTTTGTTGTGCGTGGGGTGGGGTTTCCCTTATTTTTAGGGCTAGCTACCTGCACGGTAGAAAAGCTACCCTATTTGGAGTCAAGATCCTCTTCGGATTTTTGTTTTCGAAATTCAAGAACTTGGATAGCCAGGTAGTTAAAGAAAGGGAGATCTGAACTCGTGGTTTGTACGAGGAAGGTTAGTAGAATGAGCTAATGTGAATCATATGATTTAAAATGATTCGTCTGATCTCTGTGTTTCTATTTTCAAAAGAAATGCAGAGGGTTCCATTTCTAATGTCTTTGTGGGTTTTCAGGGGTGCAGATCCTGATTGACAAGGAAGAACAAAAATGGATATAACAACAGTGTGACCAAATGGGAGATCCATCAACCGAGGCCTATAGATTCCAACTGCCTCACAACTGCCGCCAGAGAGGTCAGATTGTCCAGAGCGCTGCCTCTTCCTCTGCCAACAGCGCTGTGTCAGATGTTAAGCTGCAGCTCCAGGAGGAGGACCGCAGCAAAGGCTTCAATCCCATTTCCACTTTTGCTTCTGGTGAGTGTATTTTAAGTGCTTTTGCCAAAAATCTGCTTATTTACTTGGTTTTTGTGGGTTTTATTAAAATTGTATGGTTCTTGTTGTAGCGTAAAAAAGGTTTGCATCTTTGCATTGATATTTGGAGCAACATACGGTATTTGGATTTGGGGTTGTATAGAAATTGAGTAATTGAAATTTATTAGATATCCAATGGAAAATTTCTAGTTGTTAGATATCCAGTTTGATATTTGGCGGGTAAAATTCCATTCTTTGGATTAGGGTGCACAACAGTTGATAAAAGGATAAGTCAGAAATGGAGTGATGAAATGTATTAACTTTTACGACTAATTTCCAAAGAAATTGCAATCTGCCAATCTAAAACCATGGGTTATTTAATATCCGGTTTCATTTATAGTAGAAAAGGCAATGGATAAGAGAGATGATGGTTGAATTTGTATTTGTTATGTTAACTATTTGAAGTCTAGAATCTATAAGTTAATATATTTGACGTGCTGCTGTAATTCAATCTCTCTTTTATGTGTTTGGTCCGAATTTGCCAGGAATGTGTCCGGTGAATGGGATGGCCATGGAGCAGACTTCACAAGGGAAGGGTGCCCAATAGAACTTCCCGAGAATGTTGTACCTACAGCTTACAGGGAGTGGGAGGTTAAGGTTTTCGATTGGCAGACTCAATGCCCCACTCTTGCTAACCCATATGAGCACTCTTTTATACAAGAATACAGAGTTACTTCCTGTTGTTGGATGTGAAGCTGATGCTGCCACTTGATGACTCCAGAGATGATTGATGATCCATTCCAAACTGTGAGTTTTCAAGGCAAATAGTCACTCACCATATCCTTTTCCACTTACTAGGATTTTCTTAATTTGAACTTTTTTCTTCAGTTTGATTCAAATTAATTTTTTTATTTTCCTTTAAATAATTTGGAATTAGGCCTTTTATTTTGTGCGTTTTCTCTGTTATTTCATCCTCAGTTGAAAAGTGGAAGTCCGAACTTTTAGCTCAGAGAAAAACCCTTGGTTGAATCAAATATTGGTATGGTCCCTCACATGAGAAAAAAAAACCAATTTTTTATTTTGTTAATTTCTTTCTTTCCGCAAATTGTTGTTTTTCTTTGTTGCATTTGTCTGCTACCCTCCATAATGAACGACCTGCTAAAGCTAATGTATTTGGTTTGAAAAGAAGAAGACTAATTTTGTCATTAGTATCTGCATTTTCACATCAATGTAAACTGACTGATGCAGAAGAGCTAGCCAATTTAACATGAGCGGATATGAGGGAATCTGATTTCAGTGGTTCAACTTTCAATGGCGCATACATGGAGAAAGCTGTCACATATAAGGCAAACTTTGGGGTAAGAACTTCGCACTGTACAAATAGATACTAAAATGTGAACGAAGCATAAATAGCTTTAGCTACCTATCCTCCAGTATATGTTTGCATCATGAGATCACCCAAAAGACAAAAACCCACCTTCATTGTCAGTTCATTTCCATACAAGTTATCCCTGATTGTTAAGCATTTAGGCCATGCTTAATATGAAGGACTAGATTACAATTGAAGGATTAAGAAGGGGTTGATGTCTAAAGCGTATCCCTAATCTTATCCTCACTAATCCCTTTAAAAATTGTAAGGAGACATATTGAAATTTATGTGTATAAACTTTTTTATAAGAACATATGTAAATTAGAATCATACCTTGGTCAACATACTGGTAGTATATGATTGAACGATGCTAAAGGTTAAGTATGAACTTAGACTATGTGCCGAAAGAAAGTTGCTCATTACTTGCGTATAATTTATTTTGTTTGTGCAGGGAAGAGCACGGTGGCATGTGCTTTGAGTGGGAGTTTGTACTACAGCAGAAGCTGTTGTACATTCTTGATGGGGACAATGTCAGGCATGGCTTGAATTACGACCTTAGTTTTAAAGCAGAACATCGTGCAGAGAACATTCGGAGGATTGGTAGTATGTGTATGCCTCTTTTTAGATTAACTAAACGCTCTTTTTAGATTAACTATGGCTTTCTGCTTCATTATGTATTCATGAAACTAATCTCTGCAGTTTTTCAATTCATCTGGGGTATTTGTGATTTTGAATGACACTAAAATTATTTATGGGTTATAGGAACCACAGGTTAAGAAATGGGTCCTAATTCAGAGCTGCATTTTTCTTCCCTCAAAATAAGAAGAAAACATTTCCTCAGCTCATATTTCAGCACTTCAGGTATATTTGTGTTCTAAAGCTTTCTATTTCTTACCCATATGTTGTTTGTAAAGTGAAAGATTGGATTTCATATGTCTGAGTACTTATGGTTTTGTACAATACAAACTTGAGCTTATTGATCCAAATGGCTAGAACAATATACTCAACCAATTTCATATCCTCTTGGCCAAATGAGAGTATAATACTTGCCACTAAGAAAAATACTTCTATAATAGCAATGTGTTGGTGTGTGGCATGCTCTAATTAGGGATATTTTTGTGTTATAAGAAAGCCACAGAGAGAGAGACGGATAAAGGAGGAGGGGGAGAGCGTCAGGTAGTCGACAGCCAGCACTCCATGATTACGTCGAATCCTTATGAAAATGAATCCAGAACGAAATCGCGCTAAAGCTAGGGCGTCACCCGTAAGTGGCGCGCTGTGTGGCCCGAGCACAGTGATAAGTGAGCAAGGGTCGCTGTATCTCCATCGGCACCCGGATGCAGTGTTAAATGAGCAAGGGGGCTATAGAAACTTCTTTTCGAACGACTCCACTCAAAGTTGTTTAGGAGCATATGCTCCTATCAACTTTACACGGGACACACAAAAGAAGTATTTTGATCCTATTAGACGGGGAAGGGTGAAGAAGCTAGGACAGAAGGGTAGAGTTCAAGAGAGCAAAATGCGTTTAGGAACGTGGAATATAGGAACCTTGAACGGGAAAATCTATGGAAGTAGTAGAAGTTATGGTGAGGAGAAGGATAAATATTATGTGCCTACAAGAAACTAAGTGGGTTGGTAGTAAGGCAAAGGATCTAGAAAACTCAGGGTTTAAACTATGGTATTCGGGCACAAATAGAACGAGAAACGGTGTTGGCATCATCGTGGACAAGACCTTGACACAAGATGTTGTAGATGTCAAGAGGGTAGGAGATAGAATCATGGCAATCAAGATTGTAATAGGACAAGAACTTATCAATGTGATTAGTGCGTACGCACGCACCTCAAGTAGGGTTGGATACGAGTTCGAAGGAGAAATTTTGGGAAGACCTTGGAGACTTGGTGCAAGGAATTGCTCAGACGGAGAAGTTATTTATAGGAAGGAGATTTAAATGGACACGTGGGCAGGGAGACAGGCAACTATGGAGGTTTTCATGGTGGCCATGGTTTTGGGGAGAGAAACGAGGATGGGGAAGCTATCTTGGATTTTGCAATGGCATATGATCTCTTCTTAGCCAACACCTTCTTTAAGAAGAGAGAAGAACATGTGATCACCTACAAGAGTGGGTCGTCAAAAACACAAATAGATTTTCTTCTAATGAGGAAAGGGGATCGTATAACTTGTAAGGATTGCAAAGTTATACCAGGAGAGAGCGTGGCTAATCAACATCGCTTGTTGGTGATGGATGTACATATCAAAAGAGTGAGAAAAAAAAGAACAAGACTTGGAAGTGCCCAAGGACTAGATGGTGGAATCTAAAAGAAGAAAAACAAGTCCATTTTCAAAGAGAAAGTAATCACCCAGTGTGTGTGGGATAGAGAGGGGGAAGCTAACCAAATGTGGGATTCCATGGCTAGTTGTATCCGAAAAGTAGCAAAAGAGGTATTAGGAGAGTCCAAGGGCTTTGCCCCACACCAAAAGGAATCTTGGTGGTGGAATGAGGAGGTACAAACAAAGGTGAAGGCTAAGAAGGAATGTTGTAAAGCCTTATACAAGGATAGGACTGATGAAAATGGTGAAAGGTATAGAAAAGCGAAGCAAGAGGCGAAGAAAGCTGTGAGAGAAGCTAAGTTAGCGGCTTATGACGATATGTATAAGCGACTAGATACCAAAGAAGGAGAGTTGGATATCTATAAACTAGCTAGAGCAAGGGAAAAGAAGACAAGGGACCTAAACCAAGTGAGGTGCATCAAGGATGAGGATGGAAAGGTTCTTGCTACAGAGAACGCGGTTAAAGACAGATGGAAAGGTTATTTTCATAATCTTTTTCAATGAAGGACATGAAATGGAGTGCTTCTTTAGGGGAGTTGAGTAACTCAGAAGAGTGTAGAAACTACTCTTTTTATCGTAGAATCCGGAAGGAAGAAGTGGTTGTAGCTTTGAAGAAGATGAAGCATAGAAAAGCAGTAGGCCCAGACGATATACCAATCGAAGTGTGGAAAGTTTTGGGAGAGACAGGTATAACATGGCTCACTGACCTTTTCAATAGGATTTTGAAAACGAAGAAGATGCCAAATGAGTGGCGAACGAGCACTTTGGTGCCTATCTACAAGAATAAGGGCGACGTACAAAATTGCATGAACTATAGGGGTATTAAGCTAATGAGTCATACAATGAAGCTCTGGGAGAGAGTCATTGAGCATAGATTGAGGCAAGAGACACGGGTTTCGGACAACCAATTCGGGTTCATGCCAGGGCGCTCAACCATGGAGGCAATCTATCTCTTACGAAGATTGATGGAAAGATATAGAGATGGGAAAAAAGGATTTACACATGGTCTTTATAGATTTGGAAAAAGCGTATGATAGGGTCCCAAGAGACATTCTTTGGAGGATTTTAGAGAAGAAAGGAGTACGAGTAGCATATATCCAAGCTATAAAGGATATGTATGAAGGAGCAAAGACTGCCGTAAGAACTCATGAAGGACAAACCGAAAGCTTTCCCATAACTGTAGGATTACATCAAGGCTCATCCTTAAGTCCTTACCTTTTTGCGTTGGTAATGGATGAGTTAACAGGACATATTCAAGATGATATTCCTTGGTGTATGCTTTTCGCAGACGATATAGTGTTGATAGATGAAACTCAGGAAGGGGTAAATGCAAAGCTTAACCTTTGGAGAGAAGTGTTGGAATCTAAAGGTCTTCGCCTAAGCCGATCAAAGACAGAATATATGGAGTGCAAGTTCAGTGCAAATGGAGGCCAAAACGAGTTAGGGGTGAGGATCGGAGATCAAGAAATACCAAAGAGCGACCGTTTTCGTTACCTAGGATCTATCTTGCAAAAGAACGGAGAATTAGATGGAGATCTCAACCATAGAATACAAGCTGGATGGATGAAGTGGAAGAGTGCATCCGGCGTGTTGTGTGACCGCCGTATGCCACTGAAGCTCAAGGGAAAAATTTTATAGGACGGCAATAAGGCCGGCGATGCTGTATGGCACAGAATGTTGGGCGGTGAAGCATCAACACGTACACAAAATGGGTGTAGCGGAGATGAGGATGCTTCGTTGGATGTGTGGGCACACGAGAAAGGATAAGATTAGGAATGAGGATATCCGGGGTAAAGTAGGAGTAGCCGAAATTGAAGGAAAGATGAGAGAAAATCGGTTACGGTGGTTTGGACATGTGCAAAGAAGGCCTACTGACGCTCCGATTAGAAGATGCGACTATGGGACAGAGGTTCAGGGCCGAAGGGGTAGAGGAAGACCTAGGAAAACTTTGGAAGAGACTCTAAGAAAAGACTTAGAGTACTTGGATCTAACGGAGGACATGACACAGGACCGAGCACAATGGCGTTCTAAGATTCATATAGCCGATCCCACTCAGTGACTTGGATTTTCCAAGTCTCCAACCGAGAAGTTTTCCTCACTCGGGAAATTAAGGGAACACTACCTCAACCTACATGCTCCACTCACAAAGCTTCAACATACAAGCTTCAACAAAAGAAAATTCAAAGAACTTAGCGAAGAAGGCTTTGGTGTATTTAACACAATACGTTGAAATGAAGGAAAGCTTATTTATTGATATCCCCGATAAGTTACAAATATGTACATATACATGAGTCAAAATAAACAAACAAGAGGGAGCCTTCACAAAGGTTGCTTAGGAGAAGTCTCAGCAGTCGGTAGAGCCCCAGAAAGAGAAGGCACCGGAGGGGGATCATTCGGAGCCTCAGTACTGGACAGAACCCTAGAAGGAGGAGGCATCAGAGGTTGATCATCATTTGGAGCTTCATTACGCGGTACAGCCCCAGAAGACGAAGGCAATAAATGCCTTTGGAACAAACCCACAAATCTCTGATGATCAAGTAAAACCTGACCATCAGATTCCTTCATCTGGTCAAGCTTCCTCTTCATGTTTGTAGCATAGTCATGTGCGAGCCGGTGCAACTGTTTATTCTCATGCTTGAGCCCTCTAATCTCCTGTTTGAGACTCATCACTTCAGCCGCCAATGATTCAACTTGGCGGGTTCGAGCAAATAGGCGTTGGGCCATATTAGACACAGAACCTGCACACTGAACACTGAGAGCCAGAGAATCCTTAACAGCCAACTCATCAGACCGTTTGGAAAGTAGTCTGTTATCTTTGGGAGTGAGAAGGTTCCTGGCCACCACCGCAGCGGTCATATCATTCTTCATCACGGAATCCCCAACGGTAAGAGGACCAGTAGGGGAGACGAAGGATGGGCGCCATATGTTGTCTGGAGAAGGCGGGGCTGCCTCTTCAACAAGGTTCAAGTCAAAACGACGGTCGGAGGGGCCAGACATTTTCAAAGGTGTTGAAGAGAGAAGAGGTCGGACAAATCAAGATCTTAGAAGTGCAAGAATGGAGCTTCTACTGGTGGAGATTCAAGTGTGCTTTGGAACTTAATGTCCAGCCCCTATAAAAAATCTGCACTCGACGAAGCTTCAGAAATCGAAGAGGCGCCTGCTCAGAAATCGAAGAGGCGTTTGCTTTCTCAAAAGCTGGGCTGCTCAGAGACCACGAGGGTCGATCTCAGAAATCGAAGAGGCGTTTGCTTTCTCAAAAGCTTGGGCTGCTCAAAGACCACGAAGGCCGATCTCAGAAATCGAAGAGGCGCTTGCTTTCTCAAAAGCTGGGCTGCTCAGAGACCACGAGGGCCGATCTCAGAAATCGAAGAGGCACCTACTTTTCCAGCCTTGTCAGCACCTGTCACACGCACACTCAGCTTTGCGGAAATTATGGGCATTCTGTCGAAGATTTCTGGTGAAGTAGAAAGCACATGAATCGTTACTGTTCAATCACCCACTTCCCACACGCAACAGTAGCTCATGGGTACCACAGATAACTTTGCCAAAGTTCTCTGACCAAAGTTGAGACACGTGAAGCTTGCAGCTCCCACTACATCGCTCTGACCAAGAAGGGTAAAAGAATAGCAAAGAAACAACACTAACAAAGTTTAGACACATAAATTTTGAAGGTCTAGCTACCATATTATTACCCACAAGGGTAAAGGAACAGTACCACTGCTGGATAATTGGAAAGTCCCTGTGTGTCAACCTCTGTGCTTCGTGGCAAGGTAGACTAGCAAACATGCCCAACCTTTACTCACATTCGAGAAAACACTCCCAACAAGATTGCTTGCTCCAAAATCGAAGAGGCACCGTCCTCCGAATCTCGAGAGCCAGACTCCCAACATGATTTACTTTCTCAAAAATCGAAGAGAGGGTAAAGGAACAGTACCATTGCTGGATAATTGGAAAGTCCCTGTGTGTCAACCTCTGTGCTTCGTGGCAAGGTAGACTAGCAAACATGCCCAACCTTTACTCACATTCGAGAAAACACTCCCAACAAGATTGCTTGCTCCAAAATCGAAGAGGCACCGCCCTCCGAATCTCGAGAGCCAGACTCCCAACATGATTACTTTTCTCAAAAATCGAAGAGACACACCGCTCTCCGAATCTCGAGAGCCAGACCCCCAGCAGGATTGCTTTCTCAAAAAATCGAAGAGGCATCGTTCTCCGAATCTCTCGAGAGCCAGATCCCCGACAAGGATTGCTTGTTCGAAAATCCGAAGAGGCACCACTTTCCCAACTTCAAGAGCCGGATCTCCTTGGATAAAGCTTGTCTGTAATCTTCACACGCAACATCAGCTTTCCAGATACCACAGACCACTTTTTCAAAGTGCTCTGACAGAGTTAAAACATGTGAAGCTGGCAGCTCCCACTACCGTGCTATGACCAAGCAGGGTAAAGGAATAGCATTACTACTTGATTGTTAGGGAGACTCCTATATATATGTCGACCTCCATCCCCAACGGACAGGCAGACCTGCAAAAATGCTCAACCCTTCCTCATATCTGAGAGGGCACTCCCAACGAAGCCTTTCGAAATATTCAGCTTTCTTTCCCCCCGATAATACCTCTCTGCAAACAAGCTATACTAGAGCAAGAATATCTCATATCATCAGGGTTAAAAGCAAGAGAGTATCCCATATCATGCTTTTTCCCTGTCTTTTCCTTTGGCCTTGTTCTTACCTGCAAGACAAGGAGAAAGAGAGCAATCAGTCAGCACTTGGAATCAAGCTTCCAGCCAGGAACTGACTGCCTGGAACCCCTTACCTGATTACTTACCTGGCATTGCTCTCGAGTACTCATCTTCAACATCTTATGCTTCCAGGGAAGATACCGCATCTGCCTGAGGAACAGATAGGGCAAGTGAGAAGGATACAAGGAAGCATGTGGAGACAAGCGTAACAGCACACGTGCCGATACATCCACTTACTCTGTCAAAAGCAAAAGTATCCCATATCAGCAGGGTCGAACGTACTCTAGATTTGATGGACTTGTTTTGACCCTCAAATTCTTCAGTCGGCCTTATACTCTGGAGGAAACCAGAAAACCCTCCAGCCCAGTTCAAGAATAAGCCTGTGGAAAGTTACTTCTTCAAAAGCAAAAGTATCCCATATCATCTCTTCTCATTTTTCTTCTCTTTATCCTTCATGCTGCCTGCAAGATAGGGAGAATGTGAACAATCAGCCGGAGCTCTGATTGCTTACCTTGTCTGTCACCTCTTTCAGCAGATCCCCTAGCTCGGCGACTTGGGGGACTCCTACTACATGGTTTGTATCGCGCTTGACCAAGCCTGAAACTACAAGTAAGCTTCAAGTGAAATTGATACATTACCTTGTGCATCTCCACCAGTTAAAGATACCACCCCTGGATGGAGGAAGAGTACTTCCAGAGAAGATGCCACATCTACCTATGAGACAGATAAGGCAAGTCAAGACGATACCACACTCCGGTACTTAGAAGTTTCGTGATTACGAGATCATTCTCCCACAATATTTCCTAATGTCATTTGTACTAAATCATTCACTTGTACTCACTAAAGGAGAGCTTGAACCTATGTACTTGTGTAAACCCTTCACAATTAATGAGAACTCCTCTATTCCGTGGACGTAGCCAATCTGGGTGAACCACGTACATCTTGTGTTTGCTTTCCTATCTCTATCCATTTATATACTTATCCACACTAATGACCGGAGCAATCTAGCGAAGATCACAAAAAGTGACCGTTTTCGCTACCTAGGATCTATCTTGCAAGAGAACGGAGAATTAGATGGAGATCTCAACCATAGAATACAAGCTGGATGGATGAAGTGTAAGAGTGCATCCGGCGTGTTGTGTGACCGTCGTAGGCCACTGAAGCTCAAGGGAAAATTTTATAGGACGGCAATAAGGCCAGCGATGTTGTATGGCACAGAATGTTGGGCGGTGAAGCATCAACACGTACACAAATTGGGTGTAGCAGAGATGAGGATGCTTCGTGGGATGTATGGGCACACGAGAAAGGATAAGATTGGGAATGAGGATATCCGAGGTAAAGTAGGAGTAGCCAAAATTGAAGGAAATATGAGAGAAAATCGGTTCCGGTGGTTTGGACATGTGCAAAGAAGGCCTACTGACGCTCCGGTTCGAAAATGTGACTACGGGACAGAGGTTCAGGGCCGAAGGGGTAGAGGAAGACCTAGGAAAACTTTGGAAGAGACCCTAAGAAAAGACTTGAGTACTTGGATCTAACGGAGGACATGACACAAAACCGAGCGCAATGGCGTTCTAGGATTCATATAGCCGACCCCACTTAGTGGGAAAAGGCTTTGTTGTTGTTGTTGTTGGATTTGGTTAATGTTTCAATCGTAAATGTGATTACAGAATGAAAGCTGAGGGCACACAAATGATACATGTAGTTTGGAATTTGTAAGTTACAAGCTTATGGAAAGTAAGCTTTTGTAGTTGTCTAATGACGTAGTCAAAGAGTTGTCCACCTAATGTTTACTCTACAATGACTGTCAACGAACCATGGGAGAAATTTCAAAGTAAGATGTTAATGTCTGAAACAAGCCGATGTTGAAATTTATTTCATCGTTTTGTTTATCGTATGAAATATTTGCTGTTGAAATTTTCTTGGTGCCTTGTTTTATAAAAGATTCAGGATGGGTATAATATAGCTTTCATTGATTGGCATCGTTTTTTAAGTTTTGTCTGTGCTTTTGTTTGTAGGATCAACTTGGGAAAGAACAGAGGAGAGCACAAGCATTATCAATTTATTTGCTATAGTATTGTCCCTCTTCCTCTGGCCTCCTGAAGTGTTTCCATTCTAGTTTCACCATATTTTGTTTCATTCACTTGTAGAATATATTCTTCTTTTTTCAATACCTTTATTACCTCCTTTTAACTTTGATTATCTGTACTTGATGAGTATTATTAGACCCATTCTCAAAATTTTGCATCCCCTGCTTCTTTCTTATGGTCCTTTTACTCAAACATGTGCAAGTTTGTATTTTCCTGATGGATTGGACTATTGGGAACTTAGGTACTTCTACTTTTTGTTTATTTTTGTTGGGTTTTTTCTTTTTCGGAAAATGAGTATTTGCTTGATTTTCACTTTCAAAATGACTGTTAGAAGTTTTGTGTCAATTTGGTTGTGATGGTAAGATTACTTTATGTAACATTGTGTTGTGGCATGCCAGTGTCGAACTTTTTTCTTAATTTAATTTCGGAAAGAAATGAGTTTAACAATAGTCCTATATGATGAAGTTAGCATCCTTATAAGTTGGGAACCTAAAACAGGAGTGGTGTACTCATAAATTCATACTTTTCTCTGCCTCATTCCCCTCTACTTGCATCAGTTGTGACTTATTTTCTTTTTTGGTTCTATCTCAGGAGTTTGTCAGGGAGAAAGTTCATGAACAAAAGAAATCTAATCGAGAGGTATTTTCTTTTTGGCACATATCATGAATTATGTTTGCGTGTTTAAACAATATTTGCCTAAAAGTGTACTCTGTTTTTTAGTGGTATTTCAAATAAGGTAACTTCCCCAAACATTGATATTTTGGTTTTCTATTGGTATGTGTGAAACCAGCTTGATCCAGGTTACAAGGTTGAGGGTTGCAGATGGTTGTCATATTGCGGATAGTTAATCATGTTCAATAACCTTAGTTACAGGGCCATTCACTTAAATTTTGGTTTCAAGCTGTAGAAAGATGGCTTTTCATTCTCTCTCAAAATAAGCTTTCATTACAGCTTTAGTTTCACATCATTCGTCACTGGACTTGCTAATATAAGTTTTTATTGAGATAATCTTACTGGTGAATTGTTAAAAGGTAGGAAGAGAGAAGGCGGCCTGCGATTTTCTAAACTAAAGTTCAGATGCATTTTCTATGGTGTGGGATGTCCGAGAGAAAGGGTTTCAGGGATTAGGTTTGGGTGGGATTTCAAGGATTAGGTTTGGGGTTTTGTTTGTGCGATTTGTAGAGAGATGGGGGTGTCTGAGATAGGATTTAGGAGATTTGTTTTACGAATTGCAGAGAGAGATAGGGAGTGTCCAAGAGAAGTGTGGGAGGATTTAGGCGGGATTTTAGGGATTTGGTTTAGGGTTTGTTTTCTGCAATTTGCAGGGACAGAAAGATGGGACAAGGTTGAGGGTTGCGAATAGTTAATCATGTTCAATAACCTTAGTTACAAGGCCATTCACTTAAATTTTGGTTTCAAGTTGTAGAAAGACGGCTTTTCATTCTTTCTCAAAATATGCTTTCATTACGGCTTCAGTTTGACATCATTCGTCACTGGATTTGCTAATATAAGTTTTTATTGAGATAATCTTACTGGTGAATTGTTAAAAGGTAGGAAGAGAGAAGGCGGCCTGCGATTTTATAAACTAAAGTTCAGATACATTTTCTGTGGTATGGGATGTCCAAGAGAAAGGGTTTCAGGGATTAGGTTTGGGTAGGATTTCAAGGATTAGGTTTGGGGTTTTGTTTGTGTGATTTGTAGAGAGATGCGGGTGCCCGAGATAGGATTTAGGAGATTTGTTTTACGAATTGCAGAGAGAGATAGGGAGTGTCCAAGAGAAGTGTGGGAGGATTGAGGTGGGATTTTAGGGATTTGGTTTAGGGTTTGTTTTCTGCGATTTGCAAAGACAGATAGATGGGAGGATTTTATGCGAGGGTTAAAGGGAACGAGTAAGGGAGGTATGGGTATGGGTTTTTAGGGCCGGTTTCTAGGGAGGTAGTCTGCTGTCAGTGCCCTCACAGGTGGGGGTGTGATATGGGGAAGAGAGGAGAGGGGGTTGGTTGCAGAGAGAAGGTGACGGCGGGTGCACGATTAGGGGGACAGAAAGAGAGTTGATTGGGTACAAGATTTGAGGGTAGGGTTGAGGGAATCAGTGTGTTGGCTGCAGAGAGATGGTGGGGTTGAGTTAGTATCTCTCCCCCTCTATCGCTTCTCTCTTCCTCCATCTATGACATCTTCGTTTGAAATTTGAGTGTTTTATTTATTTATTTGGGTTTTTGTAGCTGTTACATATTAGGTTTTGTGTTTCTGGGTTTTATCACATTGCTGATGCATAAACCCATCGGTTCCTCCGTAATTCATTCAGGTTTTCATTATTCTTTTTCGATTTGTTTTGTCAAAATTGGAATGGAATTTGTTGGCTTGATTTTGTATTAGGTTGCCAAAGGGTTCTGTTTTTAGGGTTTTCTCTCTGTCCCACTCCCTCTCTGTTTCTTTTCTTTAATCAGTTTGATGTAGTTTTGCAATTTAGGGTTCAATGCATTTCATTCTTTTTACTGGAATATACATACATATAAATGTCTAAATTTGTTCAATTTTTCTATACACAGGCTGGGTTAATTTTAGGGCTGGATGAAAAGAAACACCTATCTGAGCTTTCAACAACTCGAAGGTCATTGATTTCTTCCTTCTCTCTAATTTTGTTTCTGCTATTTCAAATTGTAGGATTTAATTTAGGGTTTTAAGTTGGAAAATTTAATTAAACATTTTCAGTTGGAGAGCTTAGCGTATACAACAATTAGGGTTGTTAATTTTGATTGCTGGTCTAGTAAATGTTTTATAACATGTAAACAGGGAGTACAAACTTTGTCTGCCATGGATAGGGAATGGATACGTAATTAGATCAATAGATGGGTGCCACTGTTTTGGATATCTACATCCAGCAATACCTGGTATTCTGTGTTTTGTTGTTTTAGCTCTGTGTTTTGTTGTAATGGATTGGAATTTCTACTAGAATCATTATTATTATTATATATTTAGGGGTTTGGGTTCTGATTTTGTTTAGATAGATGATGATTGATTGTGGTTTAAGTTTTTTCAGTATATTCCCTGCACATTGCAAAGATCTGGTGCTATTTTGGTGTTGCAAGCCTAGGCGCGGAATGAAAAGAAGGGATGTATGTGTTTCTGAACTCTTATGCAAATCTAAATTGAAATCATGAAACACATTTCCTATGTTTCTCAAATCTCAGCAACAGGTTTTAGAACCCTGAAATCTAAGTAAAGGTACATCATTCCTATTTTCGTGTTTTTTTAATTCCTATCATCATGGCCACGATAAAACGTGAATATGCATGCCAACCTTGCATACTCAGTGATTAATTTCTGGATGAATTTTTCTTTAGACGGGGGTTTGCAGATATGAATACTTGAGGGGCAGATGGTCACCATGTTGGATCCATTGATACTGATACAACTTGGGATTTAGTTGGTTATATTCAAATCAGAAATAAAATTGTTGTGTATATTCCGCATTTGATTGAAAATCTGTAATTTTATGAATCATTTATTCGGATTTAATTTCAGTTAAATAGAAATTATTCTTCTTCGATATCACTGTGTGCAACACATAATTTCAATTAGGGCTGGGTTCGGGTCAAATCGGTTTGGTTTTTTTCCAAAACCGAAATCACCGAAATTTCGGTTCAGTTCATTTTTTTTTTCAGTTTTTTCCAGTTCGGTTTCGGTGTTTTTTTTTTCAAAAAATGAAAAAAATTGAAGTCTTAAATTTTAACATCTCCAACATAATCATAACATAAATATTCCAACTAGAATAAAAGAAAATGAAAATAAATATTTAAAGTTCAACTAGAATTATAACATAAAGGTTTTTTTTAATATTTTGTGTTTAAAGTTTAATTGTAAATAGATTTCTTTTTAGAAAAGTAAAATTTTCTACCATTTTCTTCACACCTCAACTCTTAACCATGAATAATATAAAGAGCTGGTGTATGTTGGTGAACATGTGCTGATTATTTTATCACGATAGTACGTACAATGAGAGCATTATCATACTAACCAATGAGGGTCATATATCGATTATGCTCTCTTTGTATGTATTATCGGTCATTTAGTAATGTAATTTACTATTTAGTCGGAAGAAGTAATATCAAATGGGAAAACACTTTATCAAAACCAATACCTGATCACTGCATATAACAATAAGCAATGAAGTATTGAATAAGCATACAAATACTTGAAGCAAGAAGCCATATTAAACAAGAATAAGAAACTAACAGTACTGTGTCAGGAGTTAGCACCATTTTGTTATCACTATTTTAGGTCTTGCTTTTTTATACGACTTCTTCCTTGTAGTTAATGGAAAAGTAGCGATGCATTTGGAATTTCTGATTTTGGGCAACACATTGGGCTTACAAATTGGGTTTAAAAAATAATACCCAAAACAAATAATTAAATATAAAAAAAATATATTAATTTAATTAATTCGGTTCGGTTCGATTTTTTTAATTTGATTCGGTTTTTTCGATTTCGGTTCGGTTCGGTTTCGGTTTTCGTTTTTGAACCCACCCCTAATTTCAATTAGTTTTTTATTTTTTATTTTTTTTGCGGTAAGATTCCGTATAATTAACCTCTACAATTTTATTCACGTGTTCATGGTCAGCAGGTCACCACTTAGTTAATTAGTGATTGGGTGTTGACCGCCGAATGTTTCATTTTTCAGTTCGAAGCTTGAATCTCACCGAGCTTCAGGTATTTTGCTTTAATTTTTTTCTTCTCTTTTGTCTTCTTTTCTGTTTGATTTCTTTCCTTCTTTTTATCCTAAATTCTGAGTTTTCATTTTGTTTAAAGTAGTTTTCTCCTGGTCTATTGATATTTTTAATTTTTTATAGTTATTTCCAATTCTAGAGGTCGCACTTGGTGCGATGGCAAGTGCCTTCGCCCATGAGCGGTAGGTCTCGGGTTCGAGACTTGGGAGCAGCCTCTCCATAAATGGGGGTAAGGCTAGCCGATATTCACCTCTCCCAGATCCTGCGTAAAGCGGGAGCCTTGTGCACTGGGTACGACCTATAGTTATTTCCAATTCTCCACTATCAATTTTTTTTGTGTGCTAATTAATCAATTTCATTTGTAACATTGTGCATTTCATATGATATTTGTTTGTACCATACTTGATCAATCTCGAAACTACCGAGCACCGATCAACGTTATATTGTCAATGACCCAGAAGAGTTTCCCTCCAACCAGGAGGCCAATCACAGCGCGACACGTGTCGACATCAGAAGCCAATCATAATGCGACACGTGTCAACATCAGAAGTCAATCATAACACGACACATGTCAATGTCAAAACAAAGCTAGAAACTCTCTTCTATAAAAGGAGATCATTCTCCCACAATATTTCCTAATTTCATTTGTACTAAATCATTCACTAGTACTCACTAAAGGAGAGCTTGAACCTATGTACTTGTGTAAACCCTTCACAATTAATGAGAACTCCTCTACTCTGTAGACGTAGCCAATTTGGGTGAACCACATACATCTTGTGTTTGCTTCCCTCTCTTTATCCATTTACATACTTATCCACACTAGTGACTGGAGCAATCTAGCGAAGGTCACAAACTTGACACTTTCTGTTGTACCAAAGTCATCGCTGATTTTGTGCATCAACAATATTTCTGAAATATTTCGAGATTTTACTTCAAGTGTAAATGGTAAATATGAAGGTGCTATTGTTACTTTTTGTATCTTTTGCATATTGTTTTTTTTTTGTTTATTGTCATATATATGAATCTCTACTAATTAATGAAACTCATTGTCAATCAAAATCTTATGAAATTACCAGTTTAACCCTCTAATTAAAACAGAACATGCATAAGAAATGTAATTTTACACAATCAAATTTTGTTTTTTTTTTTCAAAGTCTCACTTACATGTAATCCTAACATATCTTTAATTAAAAAATAAAAAAAAACCTTCCCACTTTCACATTCTCTAGCACTCTCTTCCTCTCTCATTCTATTTCAAAAACAAAAATAAAAACTTTTCTCACATATTTTGTGTGTGCCCATATGTTAGTAAGAAAGATGATAAGAAATGTGTTGTTGGTTGGGAAATAGGAGGAAAAAGAAGCGAATCAAAAAGGTTATATGGAGACTTACTGATAATAATTTTGGAATGTTAGCAGAATCAAGATTGCATAGTAATTTTTAATTTTTCCTTATCAGTTATTGTTTCAAAGGATGAAAAAGAGTGAGGGACACGGGAAGAGGGGAGAAAGAGGACAAAAGAATGGTTTGCGCTACTTTCAATGCTTTGGGTTAAAAAAAGAAGAAAGGTTCACTTCACTCACTTTGATTGAACTTTTCGTTTCTTAAGTTTCTCTTGCTATATATATGGTGTGTATATTTCTTATCAATGTGTTTATGATTCTGAGATTGTATCTCTTTTGCAGAGCATGTGGTGTGGAAACACACCAGCGAGGCCTCACTTTCAATGTCGAACTCAAGTGTGGCTCTAATCTAACCCCTGAAATTCCAACATAGCATGTAGGAAGGCTAATGTTTTCCTGTGATATCTTCATACAAAGGTACGAAGAACTAACTATTTTTAGTTTAATGGCTTTTTGGATGCTTAAAAATAAATTTTTGGACTCCATTCTTAGAAAATTTTGGCATTTTCATCAAATGAGGTTCTTTCTGTTTTGAACTGTGGGTTAGAAGTATTAAGACACTGACGCTTGAGTGTTTGAAAATTAGGTGCAAGACATATGAGCTTATAATCAAGAAAGACCTACTTTTAAATCCCACGGTGTGTTCGAAGTGCTGGATGGGTTGTTCTTTTACCAACCCTAATAAAATTATATCTGAATCATGCTGTCTAATAACTCTGTTTTTCTATTTTTCCTGTTTGTGGTTTTTAGTCGTTGTCATTTAATTGGTGTAGCTTTGCTAGGATCTATGTTCCTGCAGTGTGTGATTAGTGCTAATGGAATTTCAGCACTGTTTATGAGCTATTGTTCGAATTGTTGTATCTAAGTAGGCATTATACATTCAATTGAGCTAATGAAGCATGTGTGCCAACGAATTTTGAAGAGTTCGGCTTGGTTTTCTCTCTTTGGTCTTTAATATTTAAGTGTGAGGCACCTGTTTGTTGATTAGTTAAGTCTCTTCTCTAAGTTTTTCAGTAGATATTGTGTAATTTGCTTTTATGAGCACTTCTTTAAGTTGTCAAGTTCACAAAATGTACAAGGGGATATCAAGTTTAACAAGTCACGAACTGTGATCAATCCAAATGCAGTGAAATTAGGGATTTTACACTTAAAAACTCAGTTAGCTTTAGACCTTAGAATTAGCATTTTGCACATGTGAGTATCATTGACCTGGTCATTTTATTTTTCTGCATAAGAAACAAACTATCATTGAAGGGAGAAGAAATTATACAAAAACAACGTATTTGTAAGCTTGCACTCATATGCCTAATATTTTAATTTCTTTTCTTGATATTACCTGTTCAATGACTGTCTACACTGCAAGACACATATTATGTGTGAACTACATGTTTCTTCTATTTCTTAAGAAAAAAAAACTTTTTTGGAAACCATATCTTTGTAATCAAAGACGTTCAGTTTCTTCCCACTCGTTGTACAATATGTTTATATGCTAGCTCACTTGAATGTATATAAAAGCAAAACTGCTTATCTTATCGACTTCATTCACTCATGTATCCCTCTGTTTGTTCATAATTGTGTTAAATTTAACTTAAATGTGTTTTATTCATCCGATTACGCCTGAAACAACTGATTCTTGCAGCAATGAGCGGGTGTAATTTCAAATCTTTGCCACTCAATTTGACGCTATTTACAACAATGTCAGCCAAATGGGGATGGGTTGGGAGGGTATTTCTCAAAAGTTGATAGGGTAAGTTTATAACGGATTGCGATGGGTTAGACGCGTGCGCTCTGGTCTCATCTCTCACTCTTCCTCTTTCTCTCCTACGCGAGCGCTCTCTCATCTCTCACTCTTCCTGTTTCTGTCCTTCTCTACTAGAAAACCCACAACCTCTCGGCTCCCCATATCTCTCGACATGAAGCACACAAACCAAGTAGTGACGGTCGAAAGCCTCAAACATGGCGGAGGCGAAATGAAGGTGCAGCGATGGTCGACAACCGCCTCCGGTGTCGATGAATTTGGTCGTCAGAAAGCGTCCTCGCTCCGATAGTATGTTGAATTTCTCGATTTTCCCTTTATTTGAGTCTCCTCTCCTTTTGCGTTTGTTTAGGGTTTATAAATTAGGGTTCTTAGGGATTTTAGGGTTTTCTTGCTTTTTTTTTTCCTTCAGAAATTGCATTGTATTTCTCAGATCGGAGCTGTTCTTATTTTGAAAAAATTGGACTAATGTTGATTTTAGCTTTCATCTCTTTGGTAATTACTCTGAACCCCCAAAAGATTTGAAATTTCTGGTAATTGTTCTCATTGTTTTTGACAATTTGTTGTTAGAATTTGTATAAATTGTTGCCATTGTGTTGTGAAGTGTTATGATTATTTCAAAGAACACCGATTCTATCA